GTTCAGAGGCAAGACAGATAATCTTAAGTTTGGACATTTGTACCACGTATTACCTCCAATTCATATTAGTTGCAACACCATACGAAAATCCACAATCAAAAAAGTTGCAACAGATCGAAAATCAAGATAAAACATACATTCTTGGATGAAATACATTCTCACAAGTAATACATGACATGATGCAAGTCTCCGTCGTCGTTGACCTCGAGCTCTAGGCCATCAGTACTGAGGATGAATTGGAGACTGAAGTTGTTGGAGGACAGAATGGCTTCCTCAGCAATCTCGATTGTCGTGTCGATGTGCTGTGCAAGGACCTCGTCAGCTAGTGTGGCTCGAGCCTTCACACTGTCAAATTCTTGGAGCTTTTGGCACCCACTCTCGTACACGTCCCGGGGACACGTCACCGCTTCTGGCAGTTCTCCACGGCGGCTGAGGTGAGCTTTTTTCATGTGTGGAATGCTGAAACCATTCCCACCGGTAGCTTTGATGACCTCCACCATGACACTTTGTAGCGTCAAGAAGTTTCTCTGGAGATTGTCCATGGGAATGTCTGTCCAAGCTGACTTGACGGCTTCAACAAGCTCTTCAATCGTTTTGCAGTTTTGTCGCTGCTGCAGCGTTTGGAGAGCGCGAAAGAACCCGAGATCGAGAACATTAAGGTCAGGCGAATTGGGGGGTTGGCATACGACTTGGATGCGAATATTGTGCTCCATGCATGCAGCTTGGATGTCCGTGTCATTGACTGAGATATGCGGTCTTGCATTGTCTTGTTGGAGTTTTATCACGCAATTGGCATCAGCAGAGGAGCGAGCACACAAATCGGACCACACTTTAGCCACCGCAGGTATGACATTGTCAATAAGCATTGCCTTGTAAGTCTTTCGGCTGACGTTTACGTTCTTCAATTCAAGTGTTCCCGCTGGACGTCGATGGCTGCTCTTTTTTGCTGCAGCAATTTCAGTGAAATGCCATGTTCCAATTTTCCCATCGAACCAGGACTTCGTGGTTGGGTTCCATCTTGGTCGTGCAACTGCTGAGAGGAACATTACTTTTCCAATATAGCGGATCGACTTGCAAGTGCGTTCAGGTGGCGGTTCGTTTGGGAGTAGGTAGATTGTCTTGTTCACTTGTGCCATGTAAAACCACTTCTCATCTACATGAATAGTGTTAAACAATGGGTCCATAGTGTACTCGTTATGATCGGACACTTGAACATGCTGCATGCACCATTCGAGCCTCGCAAACTTGTTCGCAGGGGTGAGCTGTGGCTTGACGCGCGATTTGTGACGTTTTATCAAGCCCTTCTTAAAATACCGCTGTACTGTCGAGAAGGAGACACCAATGTGTCGTGCGATTGCATGGATGCTTGTTCGACGGGTTTTCGGCATTTCGGCAATTTTGGAGTCCAAATCTTTGTGTTTCGGCTTGCGACCACTCTTTTTCTTCTGCGATGTGATGTCGCCAATGACAATCTCCCCTTCAACCATTTTGACATTCGCACGGCGCCACACCCGCTGAACTGTTGCGCGGTCACGCTTGATGATTCGACCAACTTCTGCCAGTGCCCCGTACGGCAGATTGCCTTCTTTATCGATGCGGACAAGTATGAGTTGCAACAGCTTTTGACGCTCGTCGGGTGTCAAGTCGGCGCGTTTGGATGCTCTTGGCGCCATTTTTGAGTGACCATGACCACGACGGAGGGCAAACCGTCGTGGGATGTGACGGTATGCTATGCGGATACGGATAAAAACTTCTAGCATGGTGAATTGTATTATATGAGGTAAAGAATGTCACGATACACCACAAACTTTGAGGACGAGTTTGACCTCCATCCACACCGAAAAATAGGGTCCTATTGGTCTAAATCGATAGCGCTTGGTCTCACAAAAATTAATATCTCTTCAGAATCGAAAAATGCTCAAAATTGATGAAGACCACGTCGAATTACCCATCTGTTGCAACTAATATGAATAGGAGGTAGTACTAGTGGTCAGCCTACAAACATTCTTCCCAACAATTTCCCATCATAAGCCACATGCGACATTTTTCTCGGTCGACCTTGGTCAGTTCGAAA